AAGATATACGGGTTCAAAGAAAAAGGAAAGTTCAAAAACGCGATAAAATCTCGATTTAAGCATCTTTTTCAAAAAATCATATCTCTTTTGTTTTTATAGACCGATTTAAAAAATCCTTGAAAATTATGAAAGGGCATACTTGAAATAGTAACAAAAAATTCGGCGATCCGATATTTTAATTTTTTAACAAAACTGCAAGCAGTTCCGGGAACCGTGTGGGCTCACTTCAACTGCTCGGTTGTTGAGCGACAATTGCCGCGTCAATACGTCTTCCTACCGAGGAGATCCCAAACTTTTTTTACGTCAATATCCCAAATCCCTCCCATTCCAATTTCAGAAATGCCAAATCGAGAAAGTTTTGCTGAGGGTTCCGAGGACCTTAGTGTGTATATCTAGAATTAACGAGTCTCCGACGTTTCGGTTTAACACTTTATCGACAAGATAAACGTAAGGCACAAACGTAGACAATCACATGATTCGATTTGTTAAGTTGGTTTGCTAAGTTAAGTCTTTTAATTAAATTGAATTAAAACTTTTCAATGTTTATGTCATTTTCTGCAGCTTTTTTAAAAAAAGTGTCGTTCACATTTTAAAACAGGGACGTTTAATTTTAAAAAAACTTAGCCTCGAAAGACTTATTAAATGTAGTCCCTTTATTTTCTCATAACAACACGTAGCTGTTATTGAAATATTCAATAACGTATGTGTAAATAATCCAAATTCCAATGTTCAGCGGCGAGAAGAATTCCGTTTACTTGGTTAATATTTCGTAGCTTACAGCTCGTGAGATATTAACGTCTCAACAGTGAGACAAGAGCCTTTTTTTTTAGCTTCTGGTAGCTGTCATTAATACACGTGTTACCAGAGTGCAGTGAGAGTTTTCGAGAGTGTTCTATATATATATATATATATATATAGCTAGACTATCGTTTCGCACATCGATATAAATACTATTTTTCAGTCCTCCGCGCTTAGCCGAACTTCGAGTGGGTATGGCCGTCTTCGTGTAACACCTGTCATTGCAGTGTCACGCACGCATATATACATAGTGCTCCGGAATAAACTCGCGAAACAAAAAAAGATTTATCGATATTTGACGAAGGTAAAAAGTGGGGCTCCGTTCGCAAACAATCCGCTTAGTCTCTCCGGTAATTCTTCCGTTATTTCTTGTTAACACGCGCGCGGTCAGACACGTAGACGCATAAGTAAAAAAGGAAGGTAAAAAACCATTATTAAAACACAACGCGCAGCTTTTCTTTAAAGCCGATTACTTTCCTCTGATAAAATGTGCTTAAATTAACGACTGCTGTTGCGCGCGAATCTTTTGGCGTATAGCATTTCAAGGGGATCTGCAGTTTTAATCTGTGAGGGGATCTGCCGTTTTAATTGAAATGAAAAGAGAAAAAAACGGAAAAAACGAGAATATAGTCCATTACATTGCACGATGAAATAAAAGATAGAATATATCGCCGGTCATTGTTCTCCGAGACATGTTTTCTCGTTCGAAAAATTGCGACTGCCGCGGAACGTAGAGATCGTGCTTAACGAGGCGGAAAGAGAAGGATATGCCGCTGCAATAATAAAGCCTCGAATTAATCCGCGGCGTACCCGAAACAAAAATGCATCTCTCTTGCGGGCGGCAAATTGCGGTCGGATGCATTTCGCGTTAACCTGTACTTCCCGTAAATCACCTCCGGAATGCATTCAAGACGCGCCGTTGCGTATCTCAGCTTCTCTCTCATAGCTTTATCCGCTGTCCAAGGGAAATTAGTTTAGAAGCAAGTATTTTAATGCATTCGTAATATAATTAATTACGACAATAATATTTTCTGACGGTATTGAGAGAAAATTAATTAGCGAAACTGTTCCGCGCGAGGATATTTGCATAATAAAGTTTACAATTTCTTTCTCTACGGTGAAAATTTTATCGTTCTTTCCAGAGATGAGTTTCGTCCCAGAAGAAAATTTTGTTATCGCCTGTGCAGTTGACTTCCGTTTTGCAATGCGATTTCACTCTTGGTCAGATAATTTTATTCTGGAAATAAGAGATGGGGAAAGAGAGGAAATCTGCAAAGGAAGCATTTTAATAAGTCTAAAAATACCTACTCGAGAAACGAAAGTGCATTATTAAAGAATGCTTGAAAAAAACTGTATAAAATGCTGCGATTTAGAGAGAGAAAGAGAGAGAGAGGGGGGAGGGAGATGGGAAGGAAGAGAAGGGGATATAATCTAAAAGTTTTCTCATACAGAAATGTCATTTCGGTTCTTGCTGCGGAATGTATATATAAATCATCGTTTCAATACTATCACGTGAAAAATGTTTGTTTGAAAAAAGTCGAATGACTTCACGAAAAGACGGAATGTCATTTCTGACAAATGTATTATGCCTCAAGGCAAACCGAATAAAAAAAAAGGGTAAAAATGTGACCCACGAAGTTACTCGCGAGCGGGTCTGCCACAACAGAGGAAGAGCCCGCCTGAATACATCTTCTGTGCGGAGCGAAGAAATATTGTATTTTTTGTTCCCGGCTCATGCCGATGTCTCGGAATGAAGGGAAGGGTACGATACGGCGTATTTCGCATGAGAAATAGGCATGGCACACGTGTATCGTCATATATAAAGCAAATTTCAAAGTTTAAGATAATCATTGAACATTATTTTCCTCTCATCTACATGCACGCAAAATATACGAGAAACATATATTCGATATATAAGTAATTAATGTAACAAACCTAGAAATAATATAATATTTAATTTTCAGCTAATGTAGATGAAGAATATTATGTAGATGAAGAGTATTACGCAGTAGCAATGTGAAATAACATAGATATGGTATGTTTATTTAATAGCTACGATGTTTAATAGAGCCGCGCCTTTTTTACTGTAAATTAGCACAAGCACGTACGTTATAATTTAGACACACTAATTGCGCGCGCGGCGCGACGGGCGCTCGATTACCGCGAATTAATTCTGGCATCCCGCAGACGCTGCTTCGCGCGAAGTGCGAATTTACGTGCGTTTCTGTTCGGACGCGCGCAAATATCGCTGTTACGCAACGTTATCAAAGAGGTGGCCAGCCATCTCGGCGTTCCGAGACGTCGAGACGCGTGCCAAGACCGAAAAGCAGAAGAGGATACCTGCTCGCTTACTCCGGTTTCCCCGATGTGCGTTAAACGCCGACTTCGCGAAACTTTCTCGCGTTTCGACGACGCGTGATGTATATATCCCGGCGGGGAGGAAAGAGTTTAAAAATAAGTTGATCGACGGGCCGGATTTTCGTCGACCACCCGGCGGGAATAGATCAGCCGGCGCAAATTGGTTTTTGTCTTCAAGTGACACGCGAATCGCGGCTCGGCTCCCACACGGAATAATTTACAGCTGGGGGCATTTATTTGGACCCCCACGGTGAATCCCGGTGCCCGGCGTGATCTGAATGCCGAAGAGGCGAGCTTGACACACGTGTAGTAGGTAATTTCTGCAAGATTGACCTACGCTTTTCCAATTTGCTCCAAATGTCAAAAGATATTTAAGGGGCTTTCCGGAGTAAGCGGATTACGTAACGATTGCACACGCGTGAGATTTTTATCTATTCTTATTCCGGGCAGAAAGTCCTTCCTTTTTCTTGGGACGTTCAGTGCGTTACAGCTTTGGAACCAATACATCACGAAGGAAAATTTTGTGTGTAAAATTGTTCTTAGATATTAATTTCAAAATTAGCTAAAATCTTTTGCAATATAATATCTGCGTAAAATGATTGGAAATAACATGAAAAAGGATTGCTTTAAACAAATATATAAAACGCGTTACAAAAATAAGGAATAGAAATAAGAAATATAAAAATAAGAAATATAGATTTTAAAAATTTTATGTATTCTGTGCTACTTATGTGCTATAAAATACGTTTTTACATTCGCTCATATTATATACAAATTAACTAATTACTTAGTTTAGATTTCAAATCAGCATATCAACTACAACCATCTTTGTTCATTACTACTGTTTTTTCTACATTTATGTGTTTGCACTCATTAAAGCTATTATTATTGTATTATTAATTAAATGAAAATTGGATGAGAAGGCATTTATCTAAAAATAATCTTTTGCATAGATATATCGATACAGTATTAAGAAGAAACCTCTTTGTTTAAATTTCTAGATGCTATATAAATCTCTATATAAGACAGTTACAGCCGTTTCTATCAGCTTGTGTGAGGCAAACGGCGGGGTGACATTGTTACAAATTGAAACGGAGATGATCGGAAACGCGGAAGACCGTAACCGCGCGCGATATCGGCGGTGCGGAAATCGAGTAGGTATACCGCAATTGGCGATATGCAGCTGCGTCGCATATACGCAGCCGTATAGGGTCGCTTTCGAACGGACGTGAACGTCGCCGATGCGATCAGCCGTGCTGACAACACACAATCGGTATTGCACGCAAGACGTATCTTTACGCCCTTACGCGCGTACATGTGTGCGCCCGCGATAACGCACACAAGCGTGAACGTATATACGCGTTCGCAAAGCACGTAATCGCAAACCCTTATCGCGTCCGTCACCATTCGTCGTAGATAAGATTCCCGTCCATTTATCCCCGAGATTGTAAAACGAGTATAAATCATTGTAATAAATTAATTAATGCAGAATAAGTGGCTGAAAAGAGCGTTTAATTGCGCATTAACCCGCGCTATCCCGTTTAACTATCATTGGACTCAGAAAAAGTGATAAATTTTTATTTGCACGGCAACATCGAACGATCCGTCCGTGAGCGGTTCTATCTACTTTTATTTCCGTCAGATAAATCGAAACATTTGCGCGGTACGAATATAACGTGTCGTAAAGCCTGAGTGTTCCACTAGAATGTAATTTCAGAATTTCAGAATTTTTCACAATAAGAGCAAATATCTTTAAGGGAGAAAATAATTTCTTATCGTAATTACGCTTTAATCAACGAAGGAGCGATTTGTATCAAGCAATATAATAATATTTCAGTACATACGTTTATCTTCTGGCCTGGAAACAGTCAAAAGTCGTTGGCTAAAAAACGAAACACGAGCAAATCTGTAAATAATTTTAATACCAATACATAAATGATTTAACATAGCTTATGTCGTGTTCGCTTAAGTAAGGATTCTCACCGATTTTATATATGTGATCCAATTTAAACGCAAATCCTGGGAGCGCTTCCGAACGGGAGAATTACCCGAGAATAGGTCCGATAGGTAAATCCAATTGCTATTACTCGCCAATATCACGCCGTGGAAAATGTACGTCTTCTCAGCTTCAAATTGACGAACTCGCGAACTTACTCGGTCGAGATTTCCAACACACACTGATCGTGAGGAACCTTTGACGGTGACTCCGCGTGTTATTTCTTATAACTATGCGCTATTTACGCAGCTCGACGGACGCGATCGACCGTGTCTGTTTGCAAACAAATCCGACGGCCCACGAAAGGCACTCGGTAAACGTTGTGGCGAATAAACTAGATTAATAAATCATATAACTGTACGCGAATTACCCGCTGTTACGCTCGGTGAACTGGTAGCAATGACAAACTCGTTGAAATGAAACTTTAAATTGCAAAAACGCTCGAAATGCATCACAAAGAGATAATGAGAAACTCTACGATATTAAAATATAATATTGAAAATCTGTACATCTCAAGATTGCTATTATATTATTGCGATTCTCGCTTATGATTCCACAATATTAGATTCATATACTATTTCTTTATCATCAATAATAATTGAAATAATATCTGCTTCTTTAAAAGGCGCGTGGAAAACGCAATTGTTTACTTCGTAAAAAAAATGTACATTTTCTTACCTTCAGTTCGCAGAGTATCGCCGTTCAAGTTACTGCGACCAAGGATTCGGATGGCAAGGCGGCTCGCGGTTCGTCGTAAAACTGCGATACATCGTAAGAGCATCTATGCGGAACTCTCTACGCGGCGTCGACAAAACCGATACGATTCTCTCCACGAGACACAATCGAGGAGCAAGATAAATCGAGCAGGGGATCGCGACGTTATGGTACCCGGATTCGCTTCAATATCTTCCGAAAGGCAACGTGAGTTCGAGTCGTCAAGTCGACATTTGATAACAAAGGCGAAAGACTAGTTTCTTCTTTTTAAAACGTGGCGACGATCTTTCATCGGGATAAACTTTAGCGATTTCAAGCTTTCAGACGCGGATCGCTTGACTGAAAGTGAACTCTTTTTCCGCGACTTTTTCTTAACAAAAATTAAATCAATCCGAAAGAACATTAGAGTAAATACATATATGTAACGAAGCCTTTACGTATACACGAAAAAAAAGAAATAAATCTTAAAACCTAAGTAGTGTTAGAATATGTGTTAGCGTAACTTTAAATCGCGTGTTCTTTTAATACAAAAAAATTTTATGTTTAAATGTATTATATTTGCTCTTTAAATCGTACATATTTTATAAATATAAATTTTCAATAATCGAATATTGCGGTCGATCTATTAGCCTATTGTCATTGCCAAGTAATAATACAAAAAATGACGAAGACAAATAATAATAATTTAAACTAGACGTATGTGAACAACACAAATAAATTCGAGAATGCCTTCTATGGTCACGGCTGGATCTTGGTGCCTAATAAATTCTATATGAATTTTTAATCCATTATATTCAGCTGTTTAAACTTAAGCGTGCCGAATAAATTTCGGATTTGCAACGCAATCATTAGCCGAGGCTGGAATAGCGAGATCACAATCTTATGCTTATATAATACTTATAATCGATGCTTATAAGCATCTTAAAATACTGAAAAGAATTTATTGCGAAAAATATTATCTCAGCCAGGCTAAACAATGGAATAAAAAATTCATATATAGAATTTATTAGGCACCCAGGCTCTCCGTGATCGTAGAAGATTCGACGCTCTCGGACAAAAACAAATGTTTAAGGACTAACATTGTAAGTTAATTTACGAGAATGCAATTAAGTAACAAAACAATTAAGCCAAAAATTATACGAATAATTTGCAGTTGATAAACTCGAAGAGCTCGAAAATTTGATCAGAATTGAAGACAAGCAAGAGACAAGGTTAGACAGGGAGGACAAGGAGCTCGCGAGGGTGAAGATGGTAACGTGATAAGGCGAGATCGAAAGGCAATGCAAAATCGGGAAGTGATAGAAAATTGCTGAACGTGATGGAAATAAGCTCGATAACGACGACGGCGACGGTCGCTTCCGATTATTATGACGTTGGTGGATTCATGCATTATAACTACAGCAATGACAGCTACGACGGGCCACTCGAATGTAGGCAGGAGGTCAATACCAACAGCCTGCCCGACTTCATCATTTATGGCATATTCGTCAACCTGATCGGTCTTTTCGGGATCTTCGGTAACACGATCTCGATGATCATCCTGTCGCGGCCGCAGATGAAGTCGTCCATCAATTATCTGCTGATCGGATTGGCCAGATGCGACACCGTACTGATCATCATCGCGGTAAGTCTCTCTTGGTATATGTAATTACGCCTTGCTTAATTTCTTGCGCGAGAGAAATAAATATATTTAAGCTTTACGAGAAAGAAACGAGTAATCGAGATAAAAATTACGCAAGGACGTAAAAAGCGTTTTAAAAAGTCACAAGAATAAGTAAAATATAATTCTTTAAAGAGCCAGTAAATGTGATTAATAAATGCGGAAAATTGTGGTTTGCTTATATAAGCTAATGTACCGTTAGCTTCATTTCTTGACACTTTGAAGTAATTGGAAATTTACGTGAAGGAAAAAAATATGCTGATACCTCGTTTAAACTCGTGAACATTTTTATGAATTCGCATTAATGCGGAGTTCAAACGCTAGAATTATTGTGCAGGGTCGTAAAACGAAATATTGCACGTTTAATGTAAAAGAAACGGTCAAAGTTAACAGCCACTCGAGTGAGCTTCGTCGAGCTACTTTTCGCCCTTATTACGAAGAAATAATATGAGAGTTTTTATTATACCGAAATTAATGTGCTTGAATTTAAAAGCTTTTAAGGGACATTTTATTATTTAATAGAATAATGAGTTTAATACATATATTAAATTAATATAAATTATATTAAATTTATACATCGGATATTAATATTTTATAATTTTATATTAGTCAAAACATTATTAAATTATTTATTATATACCTAAAAAGTTTCACTTGTTTTCTTTAAAAGGATAACGGATGAAATTTAAATACCTTTCGCTAGTCAAATGTAATCAATGATGCGATGGATATTTAGTGTTTGCCCAAACGATTTAATTATTAAATTCAGCTAAGCGTAAATATGTATGGAATATGTAAATATGTATTTCCACCCATTATGTATACTCTATAAGATTTATTTTGCAAAACTTAAAGACACGTCTTCTCAAATCGCGACTTCTCTCACCGCGACCTCAATTGCGACGTGTGATAAATCGCAACCGGCCGTACGGAAAATCAATGTTTAATTGGCACACATGACCAGAAACGATTTTCAATAGGATCGTGGAACGATTCGTAATTGCCATCGGATGACCCAGCGTTTACCGTCGCGTCTGGCCGCTGCCAATCAATCATGCGCACCAGATAAAATTTAAAAAAAAACATCCACCATTCGCGTCGTTCCTGAACCATTGAGTTGCATTTCGAAGGGCTTATCGCGACGCCTTGTTACCGTTTATCTTTTATTAACAATAGCTCTCGAATCAACCGAGCTCGCTCATGTCGAAAGTGATACGAGTTAACGTTTCAGAGACAACATGTTTAATCCTCTTTGTCGGATATACGGGATGTTTTCGAAGCACCGTCACAAAACGCGCGACAAAATGCAGAAAAATGGTTATTCTATCTATTTTAGCGTTAACGTTAATTAGTAATTTCGTAATTATGAATGAAAGAATCTCCCGTGAATTAAGCTACATGTACATGTATTGCAAAACTTTATTCTTTATTTAACTTTACACAGATCCTCGTTTGAATGAAATTTTCATTCAAAGATCGCATTTTATACTTAATATAATATTAAATATAAAAAATAATTAAAAATAACTAAAAATAACTAGATGTAAAAAATTTTTATAGCTTAATTAAAATAATATCCAATTATAAATTTTTTCAATTTAAAACATTTATTTATTATAAAAGTTAAAAAATGTAATCTTATAAGTTTAATTAATATTTTACACGCGATAAAAGTATCTGCTTTTTTATTAAGTTATTATTTCAATCATGGTTTTGAAACATCCTTTGTACGAATATCTTTCACTGATGAGTTAAAAATGCAAAATTTCTCGCGTATTTACCTTCGCGTTAGACGAACCTGACAATTAATTAATCTTTGCCGTACCAAACGAAATAGTTAAGAGTATGAAAAGAAGGATGTTTGATAATGAACGTTAAATATCGAAATTCAATTTTTATAAAACATCCCTGTCACTGCGGCCGTAATACTTTGTAGTAAAAATCCAGCCGCAAGACCTTTCATTTTAATTTTACCCTTAATCCCGTGTTTCACGCAGTCGTAAATTTCCAACAGAGCCGAGTTTTTCATTAAAATAAATTCTCTTTAATATAATCCAGTAGTGCGTCCCCGGTTTATCTCATACAATTTCAGCTATTTTTCTAAAAATATAATTTATATATGTATCCCTTTATCTGTATTTTACCTATATGCTCTCGCATTTTTTACCTCGAATATGTCAACTTTACATACGTTTATGTGACTCTACAGATTTTACAATTTTTAAATCCAAAGCGAATATAAAGAAGAAAATTTGTTGCTACGAAGAACGTTGAAGAAATGGCCGCAACAAATTTTGTAATTTGCATTACTAAATTTGAAAATTTTAATTTGAAAATATACTCTGCTGGAAAAATACGTACATATATTCAGTCTCCAGGTAGTATAAAAATGAACTAATAAATTATGATACGTCCAATTATATGATTATATATATACATGATATATATCTAAAAATAATTATACAAAATATAATTTTGAAAAAAAATTTATGAGTAAATCAAATGTATAGAAAAAATTTATTTTTCAAACATTTTACGATAGAATTGGTTTTAATTTTTGTCGGAGATTTTAGTTTCTCTCATTTATATCTTCAGTATAAATGAAATGATATAATAAAGGATCAGATATCATATAGATCAAGTTTTATCTGTTTTACGTAGAGTAATTTTGTACGTCACCCTCGTAGCAATGCTTGTCAATATAAATTCGCGACGCAGAGGAGAAGAATTAATGTCGTCGAAAATACATGGCCCGCCAAGACTCTGTAGACTAATATGGATCACACGTCAAGCTTATGTAAATAAGTCACCACGTGTTACGCGGTTTCGCGGATAAAGTCAAGACTAACAGAGCTGACACAGTCGTGGTAAATAGGATCTTCCGGTTTAAAAGAGATGAGCCGGAGGAGAGGGACGCATCCCGCCAACCCTCTCGAGGCCACATTACACAAGCCACCCTGATTATTAATTAATTACTCGAAGCGAACTCACCCTCGACTTCGCGCTCCCTCTTACTAACGAACTATTTAAGTACTCATCGATTAAACGTCGCGAGCATAAAGACGGCGTACACGTCTATAAATAACAGTCGATTAAAGTATTGAAGTATTTTTTTCACGGAAAAGTATTTTAAAAATAACATTTGCTAAAGAGTGAACTAATTAAAATGGAATACTTTTTAACAAAATATTTAAAAGATTTATTTAATTAAAATTGTAAAAATATTTTTAATGTCATACAAATAAAGATCCAAATAAATAATGGAAAAATTTATTTTGATGTAATATAACTATAAGAACAAATTTATTTTATTAATTAAAATTTCAACGATTGTCTATTAAAAAAACTGTAAAAGCCGAATTCGAGCAAATGATAAAGGAGAAAATTCAGAATACATATTACATAAGAAGCTCTTGTCCTTGTTGTATTTATAAACTATGCATTTATAGGTATTAATCTACGGATTACCGGCAATTTACACGTATACCGGCGCGCTATTCGACTATAAATTCATCGTCTATCCGAAGACCATCAGGTACCTGTATCCGCTGGCTTGCATAGCGCAATTTGTGACGGTGTATCTGACGTTAACGGTGACTTTAGAGAGATACATCGCGGTCTGCCATCCGCTGAAAGCCAGATCCTTCTGCACTTACGGACGGGCCCAAGTGGCAGTGGCAGTCATAGTGATCGTCGCCTTTATTTACAATCTGCCCAAGTGAGTAATCGATTTAACGTTTCTCATGCCTTCTCTCAATTTACAGCCGTTAAATGAAGATTAGTACATGATAGATATCTATAATAAGATTGGTATAATAAAAAAAAGCTTTAAAATAATTGCAATTAAATTTTCGATTTTTTGTATCATTTAGAACGATGTAATGTAAAACATTCGTAGTGAGAGAAAAGATGAAAGAAGAAGAGAATTTGAAAAACTTGCTGCACTCGCAATCAGTCGATTGCAACAGCAGTTGAAGTCACTTCTGGAAATTAACGGAAAAATTAATTTCTGAATTTATTTAGATTCTGGGAAATCAAAGTGTACAACGAGAGGCACTGGAAGTACAATATCACGGTGTACTGCGTAGACGCAACCGAATTAAGGAGCAACGAGTTTTACGTCACCCTGTACATCCACTGGATGTACTTCTTCGTGTACTACATGTTCCCGTTTATCATGCTGGTGATTTTTAACACGGCCATTTATCGACGGGTGAGTAACACGAGTAAAGCCCAACATCATAAATCCGAATTATTTTGCTAAAACAATATCGCACGGGTGATGGAGTTTTAAAAAATAATGTACCTCAGTATAAAAGAATATTTTATTTCGCACGTGTACGAATTTTATTTTTAGTCTCATTTACTCCGAATGTAAATTATACAGAACCTGCAAATGATTGCAAAATGCGTCGTAAGCCGATAGGAAAAATTAGAGAAACATTCACCATATATTTTATTACGAGCAAGAACGTCGTCTGTGCGATCGTCAAATTTCGTATTGGAAACATGGCAAAAAACATTGACAACCCAAAATGAAACGCGAAACAGAGTCGGATTAAACGTGAGATATCGAACAGCTTGTCAGCGGCAGCGAGCTTCCCCCAATAGAATCAACATTTCCCAGAGCTCTACCGCTCCGTTTTATTAAAACTTCTTTTTAGAATTTGCAATAAGTCATGACGGCGGAGAGCAGGGAGGGGAGAAACGTGGCCGGGCCGCTATACCGCAATAAGTTCGCGTAACGGCCGGCTGTATGACATAAAAGTACGAATAATAAGTCGGGGCGACGAAACCAATAAAGTTACTCAGAGTGTATAAGTATATATATATTCTCTTTGATACACGTGCGCACGCTTAGAATTCGCGAGCACGTATAACGAAATTCACGGACGGCTGCCCTCACACGTGCCACTTGTGCGGACCACACGACTGCAGCTGCAGACACAAGCAATATCGTTCTCCACCTCTTCCTTGTCCTTCGACGAAATACGCGAAACATTTACAGTGGGAAGTTAACATGCGTTAAATATTGCGAAAGAATGTCGGCATTCAAATTTTATAGATAATAATAACCTAATGCGGTATTATCAGCAAAATACTAAATAGTCTCAGTATTAAAAATTATAGTATAATAAATTCATGTCTCACTATCTTACTTTTCTATAATTAATTGGACAAAAAAATTATTAAAGAGAAATAGAAATTAATACAACTAATCTATATAAATTAATAAAGATTTTCTTTGCAGTTGTTAATAAGATTTTAGAAGATAAATTTTATAAGATAAACATAACACTTTTTTGAAAAATATCTTTTATTTGTGCAATTTAATTGCACGAAAAATGGAAGTTATCGACTTAACATGCCTTTTTTTAGGTAGAATATGAGATATATGTAAGAGATATATAAAAGTAATGAGATATTTAATATGATTTTGTATTTGTGCGTGCGTGCGTTTGTTTTGTTCTAGTATATTTAAGCGCGCGCTTTGTTTTGTTCTAGTATATATA